TCATTGCTAGTTTGGTATTACAAATAATAGTAAGATTAAAAAGTAAGCCCTTCATTTAATATATTTAGTTGTAGGATGATAAAAGTAAATTATTGGTTATAATAACTGTCTCATTCAAATAATATGTATGTTGTACTTGTGAAAGCAAAACAGTAAGTGTCCCACAGAACATTGTCTGAGAGAAGCTATGAACAGTTTAGAAATTTTTATTCCATATTTTCACGAGATTTGTGTACCCAAAGAAGTTTGGAAGTGTGTTTGACAGTCACCAATTCCTAATAGTGCTAGACAGTCTGAAAGATTTATGCAATTTTAATTTTCTATAGAAAATGGATGGATAAACAGTAAGTCATTCACTTAATATTTTTAGTAGTAGCAAATTATGTTAGTACAGATGTTAAAATATGCAAAATAATGGTTTTTAACACAATTAAATTTAGACATTGATGACGTAATCATATGTAAAAGTATAGTAATACTGTCACAGCAAAGTTGTTAAAACCCTACAAACAGTCTTTAAAATAATGGTTTTAACATAGACAATGAATATATGTACAAGTATAATGTTCACGTTTGTAAAATTCATGTAAGATAAAACTATAAAGTATCATGTGTAAAACGAAATATTTTTTCAAGTTATAGCATAAAGTCAAATTAGTAAAAGTGTAAGTTTAATTATTGAACAATATTTAATAGATGTTTTATTGATGACGTATGACAATTTGCTTAAGATATTTTGCCTTCTTACCTGAATTTAAACTATCAGTTATACTTTACTTACTTGTGTCTTAGCATTTTTACCTTGATCCCAAGATAAAATTGGATCTCTTTTTAATTTTTAACATTATGAAAAAATAATAATTTGAAAGACATAGCACTATAGATAGTTAAAGAAATAATCAGAAAGGCATAGCACTGTAACTGGTACAAATAATAATCTTAAATTCATAAATAATATGTGGTAACTTTTTGTCCTCACATGCATTTAAATTTTTTATTTCTGATTTCAACGAGAATAATATATTCATTACGGTCATATTTTTGTTGTTAAGTATCAAGTTATATTGACAGCATAAAGTCAAACTAGTGAAAGTGTAAGTTTTAATTAATGCATAATATTTTAAGATATCATCCTTTTTAGGACATATAAATAATAAGGAAATGTAATTAACTAAGGCTTTAGTGTTTTAAACTGATTGCATTAAATACAGTCATGTTGAGATATCAAACAGTAAGTTTTATTCATTTCATGATATCATCCTTTTCGATGGTCAGGAAATGTAATAAATAATTTAGTGATAAGCTTCCTTTTTAGGATGATTAAAATGGTTAGGAAAATTAATTAATTATTAACTAATGAACTAGTGTTTTATACCAATTAAATATGGTTGTACTGATCAAATTTGCACTGGTTCAAAGGAACTATGACGCCATGGCCGCCTAGAAAGTTCTCTACTTTGGGGAAGTATTATGTAATCATTCATTGTCTATCATGGCAGCTTAGCAAAACATCCCTAACAAAGCACTCTCTTGTTATAATTTGTTCACATATGATGTCATCGTCTTTTATGACATCATCCACCCTCCCTATTGTCTAGCGATTCCCCATTGAGGGGCATCCGTTTGCCGCTAGAATGAGGCCCTAACTACTATCGTTTTCCCTCTAATCTATCACGTCTGTCACTTTTAAATTTGGAACCGCTGGTGTAGATAGCTCTCGGGTAGCTTTGCGCGAAATTCAACAAAACTTTGTAAACACAATAATGTTTGCATAATTTGCTTTGTACTTATCCATAATCCAGAAAATCCGTTCTACCCGGAGAATTATTTGAAAAACAGGTTGGTTAAAGAAGCAGAAAAAATATAATAACTGATACTTTTTTCTACTCGTAGCGTGTCATACAAAGTAGAAAAAAAAGTTACTTGAAATTCAAATATACATACTTAAGTACGTAACATAATCTTTAGATCTCAAACAAATAACCTTTTTAATCATCCTGACATATAGTTTTTCCGACTGCCGCTCTTATAGTAAAATCTCAATATTTTTTTTTTCGTGAAGTAAGTCAGACACAATTTTCTCCGTTGAACAAATCCTGTATCGATGTCAATAAAACAACAAGAAACATAACTAAAGAAATGACATTTACCTTGTCTTGATGGATCCATATTGTTAGGCATCATAGGTTGACCAGGAACACCACCAGTAGGCTAATGATGTTCAAAACAAGCTTTTTAAAGTTAATTGTATATTTTCGTACAATTTCTATTATTAATATAATTATTTAAATTAATTAATTATATATATATATATTTCTATAAATTCACAAACAGAGAATCGTGTAAATAATAATCATTTGCTTATTCAATTAATATCACTACGCTTTACAAAAATGTACTAACGTCAGAACAATTTTATTTTGAACAAGTATACACAGTAGGTTTTGTCCCTCGGTAGGGCAGCGGTAAGTCTTCGGAGTTACAATGCTAAAATCAGGGGTTCGATTCCCCTCAGTGGACACAACAGATAGCCCAGTGTGGCTTTGCTATAAGAAAACACACACAGAGTAGTTCTTTTATCATTGCAACTGTCATGTTTTATAGACTAAATCGCCATCTATCAGCTCCTTAACAAAAGAGAAAACTGATAATTGAAAGTTTTGTGCTAAAAGTTATTTGTTATTTTTTAGCTTGAACCTGGTAGCAGTATCAATTCGGTATCACCCAGAGATATTTGTAAAATGACAAATATTACAACAATATGTTATTTCACCCGTGAAACAAAATGTTTTAACAATGTATGAATGTGTTAACTTTAATTAATGTAAGGTAATTTATTTGTCAGTTTGATATATTTTAAGTTCGTGTCGTGTCGAATAATAACATATTCAGGATGATTAAACCTCAAGGTACTGAAAGTTCAATGGCGCGTCACGTGGCAACCAAATGTGTCTTAAGGTGAATTTCCACACATAAGATCAGTTTGGACTATGAAGTATCGCTTTAATTAACTGATTATCAAGTATTACTTCAATAAGTTCTTCACATTTCTTTTTTAATTATAGATGTTTACAAGTGTTCAGAATTTCTATACGTAGTTTTTATGTACGCCATCACGCGTATTCTTTATTAATTACGTCAGGATTCCGATCATCATTACAGCCATTTATTTTTTTGTTTTTTTAATTGACCGACACTGTTTCGCCCTGACACTATTCGCTGACCAACAAGTAGGATAAAGATATTACTGTACACACAGAACTCTGATACTAAACGTGCTAGAGAAAATAACATCACTGTGAACATTTATACTTCTACACGAATAAGGCCTAGCGTAAATGAGTTACGTGCGTGAAAACTACAGAATAAACAAAATTCTAAATAACCTCAAGTAAATTGAATTTCATTCGCTATTCGAGAAACAACCGCCTCTTTAAACTTTCCATTTGAACAAAACATGCCCCAAGCGTTTTGTGCTTCACGAGCAACTTAATTAAACTGAGGAACGGTATTTTTCTGCTGTCTCTTCTTGGTATGAATACAATTTCAACGTAATGACTTTCTTCTGAATAGAGGCATGCCGTAATAGGAAAACTAAACCAATCTTATTAACTGATAAAAACGTTCCCTACAGGACTCATTTTCCTTAGCTATCCAGCCCAGACACATAATTACACTGTGATGATGTGTTTATAGTTAAACAGATTGTGTTTGGTGTAATACTCATATATACTGACATGTATATAGTTAAAAAAATTGTGTATGCTGTAACTTACATATTTATTTATAAATATATTGTATATAATATAACGTACATATTGTTATGTTTATAGTTAAACGGGTTGTTTTATAATTATGATGTAATGTATATTAACATGTTTATAATCAAACAGCTAGTATATGATGTAACATATGTGATGATTTTTTCAGATGGTGCTTATTGCGCTTGTTTTTCTGGGGTTTTTTAATTGGTATAAATAAGGTGAAACTTTATGATATCGCACGATCACGTGCTAATTTTAATTTTCATATACACAGCCTACAGACAATGCGAAGAAATCACTTAAAATGCAATATAGAATTGTTACCAGAGTACACGTGACGTGTCTTTTCAGATGAAAGTTTAGTGAGAGAGGAAAGATCAGACATTAATGTACAGTCCCTAATTAGTTTCAGTTAATGGCACATTATTAAGTCGGTGCAGGTGGAAATTGGCTGTTGCTCTTTGGGTTTTTTTTTTTTTAGAGTGCCATTATCCTTAAACAGTTAGTGTGATGTAACTGACATCTCTGTTGGTGTGTTTCTAGTTAAACAGTTAATGTGGTGTAACTCTCATCTCTGTTGATGTGTTTATTGTTAAACAGTTAGTGTGATGTAACTCACATCTCTTTTGGTGTGTTTACAGTTCAGCAGTTAGTGTGATGTAACTGACATCTATCTTGGTATGTTTCTAGTTAAACAGGTAGTGTGATGTAGCTCACATTCCTGATGGTGTGTTTATAGTTAAACAGGTAGTGTGATGTAACTTACATCCCTGTTGGTATGTTTATAATTAAACAGTTAGTGTGATGTAGCTCACATTCCGTTTCTGTTCTACGTTCCATAGGTATTTATTACGTTCCTGTTAATTAAGGCACATATTCAATTCATGCTCATTTCTATTCTATTTTATTTAGACCTTCTTGTCTCCAAGGTATCCAGGAGGGCCAAGACCGGGAGTTCGAATGCCCCAGCACATGGAGTTCAGTGTGAGTTTTTACCTACTGTTTAGAGCTAATTAGACACCATAGAATTATGTTTGTTCGTTTTCATTCCTTTTTTTTTTCGAGAATTCTTCATATGATTGAAGACAAAGAGGAAACATGTCGAATCTTGCATATACTGTGTGTATAATACAAAAAGGGGAGGAGGGTGGGAGAAGAGGTCTATCTCGTTAACAAAGGGATAATATAATTATCCAAATAATAAGTTTTATATGACGTTCTAGGCAGAATTATGAATACAGCCACAACTTAGATTTTATTGTTTTTTACTGATTCAAGCGAATCACTTCACGAAGTAAATATATAAAATTCGATGTTTGTATTTTTATCCCCACACTAAGTTTCATGCTCTGACAAGTACATGGGCGTGTTTATAGTGTAGTGTGATGTAACTCACATCTCTGTTGGTGTGTTTCTAGCACATATTCCATTCATGTTCCATTAACTAATAGGAACTTAATAAATACTTATGTTTTGGTTCTTGCTAAGCGCAAAGCTACACAATGGGCTATCTGTGCTCTGCCCACCACGGGTATCGAGACCCGCTTTTTAGCATCGTAATGTCTAACAGACTTACCATTGAGTCATTGTGGAGATAAACACCTAAAGAAAATAGAACAGAAATGGAATACACGCCTCATATACTATGAACGTAAGAAATACCTATGTAAAGCAGATCAGGATTGAACATAAACAGAACACACGCCTTATTCAATAAGAACACAATAAATGTCTATGTAAAGTAGAACAGGAATTAACGTAAATACAACACAAGTCTTAATCAATAAGAACACAATAAATGTCTATGTAAAGTAGAACAGGAATTAACGTAAATAAAACACGTCTTAATCAATAAGAACATAATAAATGTCTATGTAAAGTAGAACAGGAATGAACATAAATAGAACACATGCCTTATTCAATAAGAACATAATAAATGTCTATGTAAAGTAGAACAGGAATGAACATAAACAGAACACAAGCCTTAATCAATAAGAACATAATAAATGTTTATGTAAAGTAGAACAGGAATGAACATAAATAGAACACACACCTTAATCAATAATAACATAAATAGAACACATGCCTTATTCAATAAGAACATAATAAATGTCTATGTAAAGTAGAACAGGAATGAACATAAATAGAACACACGCCTTAATCAATAAGAACATAATAAATGTCTATGTAATGTAGAACAGGAATGAACATAAGTAGAACACACGCCTTAATCAATAAAAACATAATAAATGTCTATGTAAAGTAGAACAGGAATGAACATAAATAGAACAGATACCTTATTCAATAAGAACATAATAAATGTCTATGTAAAGTAGAACAGGAATGAACATAAATAGAACACATGCCTTATTCAATAAGAGTATAATAAATGTCTATGTAAAGTAGAACAGGAATGAACATAAATATAACACATGTCTTAATCAATAAGAACATAATAAATGTCTATGTAAAGTATAACAGGAATGAACATAAATAGAACACATGCCTTATTCAATAAGAGCATAATAAATGTCTATGTAAAGTAGAACAGGAATGAACATAAATAGAACACACGCCTTAATAAATGTTTATGTAAAGTAGACCAGGAATTAACATAAATAGAACACAAGCCTTAATCAATAAGAACATAATAAATGTTTATGTAAAGTAGAACAGGAATGAACATAAATAGAACACACGCCTTAATCAATAAGAACATAATAAATGTCTATGTAATGTAGAACAGGAATGAACATAAGTAGAACACACGCCTTAATCAATAAGAACATAATAAATGTCTATGTAAAGTAGAACAGGAATGAACATAAATAGAACAGATGCCTTATTCAATAAGAACACATATAATTATATCTATGTAAAGTAGAACAGGAATTAACAAAAATAGAACATACGCCTTAATCAATAAGAACATAATAAATGTCTATGTAAAGTAGAACAGGAATGAACATAAACAGAACACATGCCTTATTCAAGAAGAACATAATAAATGTCTATATAAAGTAGAACAGGAATGAACATAAATAGAACACATGCCTTAATCAATAGGAACAAAATAAATGTTTATGTAAAGTAAACCAGGAATGAACATACAGTGTATGATATATAATAATACGCTTTAGTAACATGAACAAGTAAAACAATTATATAATCTTATATATTGAATGAAATACAAAACTTTTCTGTCTTCTACACCTACGAAATCAAACGCGAATAAATATTTCTTTGAAATTGCACAGTGAAACAGGATTGTGAAAAAAACTATTAAAAAAACAACAAATATATATTCCTTAAAGAACAATGTGGTTACTCCTTGGACTCTACATAAACACTCAAAATGTATGGTTTTAATAAATTCTATAATAACTCTTGATGATATATTGTTATGTACAAGTGGTTCCTTATTTTCTTTGCTACTGACACGTGACC